GCGTTGATTTTACTTGTATCTCTACCGTCTAGCTTTGAGAATTTTGTAGAGTCTTTTGTTGTTGGTAAGGATTCTATAACCTTAGAAGAAGTGAAGGCAGCACTTCATACTAGGGAACTCAGAATGAAAGCTACGAGTGATAATGGGGATAATGGTAGTGGGTTATTTGTTAAGTCCGGAAAGTCTAAAAAGAATAAGGGGTTTAACAAGGGGAACAATGCTGGGTCGGGTGCTGGAAACGGCAAGGATGGATCTAGTAAAACTACTACTAAAACATGTTATTACTGTAAAGAACCGGGTCACTTTAGGAATAATTGTCCGGTGAGGAAAAACAAGTCCCAGGCTGCTGTAGTTGAAGAGAAACCGAATGAGAGCTATAATTCAGAGGAAGATTTAGCATTAGTCAGTTCTGCTAGGTCTGATGATTTATCTGATAACTGGGTTCTAGATTCGGGGTGTTCGTTCCATATGTGTCCACGTCGAGATTGGTTTGATACATATGAACCTCGCAATGGGGGTATGGTTATAGTCGGTAACAATGCTCCATGTAAGGTCACAGGTATTGGTTCCATGAGGTTGAGGACTGTTGATGGGCGGAGGTTAACTTTGACTAATGTACGGCATGTTCCTGCTTTAGGAAAGAATCTGATTTCATTGGGTACCCTGGATGAATTGGGGTACAATGGTGTGTTTTCAGATGGGGAGTTGTGTATTTTCAGAGGTTCTGAGTTGGTACTTAAGGGTATCAAAAGGAACACCCTCTATGTTTTTGAGGGTGTTACACTGCCTAGTTCTGCGGTTTGCGCATCTGTATCTCACCAGGAGATGACTAAGATTTGGCACATGAGGCTTGGTCATATGGGGGAGAAGGGGATGCAGCTATTGTCCAAGAGGGGTCTTCTATCCGGGGTCAAGGTTGCCAACCTTGAATTTTGTGAGCATTGTGTGTTTGGTAAGAAACACAGGTCAAAGTTCAGCAAGGGTGCTCACATTACTGATGCAGTGCTCGATTACATCCATTCAGATTGCTGGGGTCCATCTAGAGTTGAAGGTATGGGAGGTTACCACTATTTTGTGTCATTTGTTGATGACAAGTCCCGATACACATGGCTTAGGTTGCTTAAGTCAAAGGATGAGGCCTTCAAAGTTTTCAAGCAATGGAAAGCTTTGGTGGAAAATCGACAAGGAAGGAAGATTAAGAAGCTACGAACGGACAATGGGCTAGAGTTTTGCAAAGACGAGTTTAATCAGTTCTGTGCAGATGAGGGTATAGGTCGGCATCATACTGTCAGGAAGACACCACAGCAGAACGGTGTAGCAGAACGGGTTAATCAGACACTGCTAGAGAGAGTTCGATGCATGCTCTCTAATGCAGGGCTTGGGAGGAGGTACTGGAGTGAAGCTGTGTTAACAGCTTGTTATGTCATTAATAGGGGTCCTCATTCTGGAATTGATTCCAAAATTCCGTTTGAGATCTGGAGTGGTAAGTTGCCTAATTTTTCGAATTTGAAGATTTTTGGTTGTGTTGCTTATTATCATGTTATTGAGGGTAAGCTGGATCCACGAGCCAAGAAGGGGTGTTTTGTTGGGTACGGGGATGGTGTGAAGGGGTTTAGAATTTTTTCACCTTCGGAGGGTCGGGTCATTCTTAGTAGGGATGTTACTTTCGATGAAAACACCATGTATTCAATTAAAAATGCAGAGATTTCAGATTTGAGAAGGGAAGGAGACAATTTATTACAGACAGATGGGGTACTTGAGGTACATCAGTCTACCATTGCTGATTTACCTCGGGTACAATATATTGATGATGATGCTGATGTTCCAGTGCCGGGTACTCCTGAACCTGAGATTACTCCTACTCATTCTAACTCTGGGGATGAGGTGGAGCAATCTAATCAGGGGTCATCTAGTCAACCTGACACCATTCTTGAGATGCCTAAACGAGTTATCAAGAAGCCTGTTAGATTGATTGAAGAGATGGAGGGAAGAAATTGCTGTGTTGATGCGATGACAGGTTATGCATTGAGTGTAGCTGATGATGTAGAGTCATTTGAACCTGCCACATATAAACAAGCAATTAGTTGTAGTGAGTCTGCGCAATGGCTTGCCGCAATGGGTGAAGAGATGCAGTCCCTTTACAAGAACAGAGTGTGGGAACTGGTAAAGGTACCGGAAGGGAGGAAGCTTGTGGGTTGTAAATGGATTTACAAGAAGAAAGAAGGGTTGTCGGAAACTGAGCAAATACGTTTTAAGGCTAGGCTAGTTGCTAAGGGGTTCAGTCAGGTAGAAGGGGTTGACTTTGTTGAGATATTCTCACCTGTGGTTCGACATACTTCTATCCGTGTGTTATTGTCAATTGTAGCACATTTTGATCTTGAGCTGGAGCAGTTGGATGTTAAAACGGCCTTCCTTCATGGCGATTTGGAGGAGGAGATTCTGATGAAGCAGCCCGAAGGATTCGAAGCTCCTGGAAAGGAACACTATGCCTGCAGATTGCTAAAGTCATTGTATGGACTTAAGCAATCCCCCCGACAGTGGTACAAAAGGTTTGATTCTTTTATGGTTTCACAAGGTTTTGACAGGAATTCATATGATTGCTGTGTGTATCATAGTAAGCTGGATAATGGTTCCATGATTTATCTTTTGTTATATGTTGATGACATGTTGGTTGCCACAAAGAATAAATCTGATATTGCTAGATTAAAGGAGATGCTTAACTCGGAGTTTGACATGAAAGACTTGGGTGCAGCTAGGAAGATTTTGGGTATGGAGATCTACAGGGATCGGGCTAGAGGTAAGCTTTTCTTGACTCAGAAAAGCTACATTGAAAAGATTCTGTCTCGTTTTGGGATGGAAAAATCGAAGCCTATAAGTACGCCAACTACTGTTAGTTGTAAGTTGTCTTTGTCTATGTCACCTCAATCAGAGGAGGAGTTGTCTTATATGTCTAGAGTTCCATATGCAAACGCGGTTGGTTGTTTGATGTATGCTATGGTCTGTACTAGGCCGGATATTGCGCATGCTGTTAGTGTTGTAAGCAGGTTTATGGCTCGACCTGGGAGGGAACACTGGCAAGGGGTGAAAAGGATTTTTCGCTACCTGAGAGGGACAACTGATATTGGTCTTGTGTACGGGAATGGTAGGGAATGCTTGGTCACTGGGTACAGTGATTCTGATTATGCAGCTGATGTGGATACCAGGAGGTCTGTGACTGGTTATGTGTTCACTTTGGGTGGTTCTGTGGTTAGTTGGAAGTCTACATTGCAGTCATCAGTTACGTTGTCAACTACTGAAGCTGAGTATATGGCTTTAACTTCTGCAGCTAAGGAGTCTATTTGGCTCAAAGGCCTAGTAGGTGAACTGGGTATTGCACAGGATTTTGCTACAGTGTATTGTGATAGTCTAAGTGCGATTTGCTTAGCTAAAGATCAAGTACACCATGATCGGACGAAGCACATTGATGTCAGGTATCATTTCTTACGTACTGACAAGAGGATTAAGGTGAAGAAGATTGGGACTGCTGACAACCCGGCTGATTTCTTCACTAAGCCTGTTCCGTTTAGCAAGTTTAAACATTGCTTAGACTTGTTAAATATTGATTACTACGTGATGTAGTAGGCCCTGAGGGGCGAAGTTGGGGAGCTCCTGGTGTAGGTGTGTTGGCCTTAAGGTGGAGCTTGCCCGGGGCTTGTGATGCAGGTGGAGCATTATGAGTTGTTATACTTGGAGACGAGTATGTGATGGGTCTTGGTTGAAGACTTATCGGGATGTATGGCTTATGCATGAGTCCTGCATCGGGTTTGGCTTGAGATGTTTTTTCACTATGTCTTGATGGGGTCGTTTGCTGACTACGAGTTCTCGTCAAGGTGGAGATTGTTGATAAGTATATTAGGTGACTCGTACTTCGTAGCTTTGTCCGCCCGATCGGGCGGACATTGCCCGGTCTGACCGGGCGGAAGAAGAAGAGGTGCCTGGCAAATTCGTTGAAGAAGCTGCTCTCGCGCCCGACCGGGCGAGCCTTCGCCCGACCGGGCGAGCCTTCGCCCGATCGGGCAGACCTTGCCCGGTCTGACCGGGCGGTGGGGGTTGGATACGTTGAAGCATTCGTATGGAGTTTTCTTCTCGCGCCCGATCGGGCAGACCTTGCCCGGTCTGACCGGGCGGAGAAGGAAAAATGCGGAGACGCGGATTTTACGATTTAAAGTTATCTTATTTTATTATCTTTTTGCCCAAGTATCTTTTAATTAGGGATTAATATAAAACCTCCCTAATATCAGTATTAGGGTTAAGAGAGACAGAGTGAAAGCCGTTCTTGAGAAATACAAGAATCATCTTTGTAATCTTTGCAGTTTATAGTGAAATCATTCGATCTCGGTGCCCGTGGACGTAGCTATCACATCGATAGTGAACCACGTAAATTCTTGGTGTTGTTCTTATTGTTTGCATTGAATTTCTTTATTGTTTTCTTGTTTGTTTTCGACCTTTGCTTCCGCTGTCGCACAACAATTATCGTTATCACCCATTATCACTTGGGGCGGTATTAAGTAGATGTGAAAATATATACCCAAAAACATAAGATTGAGCATGTAAAAATGTAATGACTTCAACATTGTTATTGTTTTTTTAAGAGAGAATTATAAAAACATATGATGTAAATGAGATTTGATTTCAGGTCTTGATGATTATAATTCATCGAGATTCTAACCAACTAATCTAATAATTGATCATCAGCATTGATATTACAATGCAACCTTCCTTACTAAATTACACCTAAATTTATTTCCAATACCATCATTTATTACCGCATGGCTACTACTATACAACTAACAGCTAGCCAGTAATAACTAACATTCCCCTACCCATGAAAGGAAAAGATTAGACTAGTATCTAATTCTAGTTCTACCCAATAAAATACGAAGTACATCATACATCTATCATACTCACACACTAGCCCACCTTATTATTCATTCACCTCTCAATTTGTCCTTGAAGAAGAGATAAGAAAAGTAGCCAACTTACTATTTTTGAAGGGTTTCTATTTTCTCTCACCTTCACTTATTATCATCTTTATTTCTCTCTCTCTCTCTCTAGGTTGTGTTACCTACTCAACAGGTTAACCCCCAAAAATTAAAAAAAATCCTAGTTTTTGAGAAGTATTTTAGAGAGGCAAAAGCTATAGAAAAACCCAGTTCTATATTTAGTATTCTTTCATAAATTTTATAGCTAGACTTCTCATATTATTTTTCCTTTTTTTGAGCATCTATTATAATATTTTATAAGTGTAATATATATATCATAATAAATAAATATTTATATTACAAAATAATGGGAAGAGGGAGAGTAGAATTGAAGAGAATTGAGAACAAAATAAATAGGCAAGTAACTTTTGCAAAGAGAAGAAATGGTTTGCTTAAGAAGGCTTATGAACTTTCTGTTCTTTGTGATGCTGAAGTTGCTCTTATCATCTTCTCTAACCGCGGTAAACTCTATGAATTCTGCAGCAGTTCCAGGTAATTTTTACCCTTTCTCTTTTGTTCTTTTTTCAATTACAATTTGGATGCATAAAAGCTTGAATTAATACGATAGAGTAATAATTAATACTCACTCTGTTCGGAATTAGTTTAATATATAGTTATGTTTATCGATAAGCGATATATAGGTAATTGTTAAAGATATGGTAATGCAATAACTAAAGCCAAATAAAAGTTATTCGGGGTTGCTTTTGATCACTTTTTATTCCATGTTGTAATTTATTTGTTACTTTATTCGCGAAAATTTGGTTTTAATTTTTTCCATCCCTTTTATTTATTTTTGCGAATTTATTGCCTTAATTAAGTATGTTGATTATTAATTTGTCTTATCATGCTTAGTGACTAGATAATGTAAAATAATTTTCATTGACTTTACAATTGCTAGATCTAAAAGGAAAAATAGCAATAAAATCCGTCTTAATCAATTAAATTAAGAGTTTTTGTAGAAATTAACTTCATTGTTGATGATCGATTTGGACTAAATAGTTTATGTGTAAACTTTTCTTAATTAATTTGTTGTATACTGCTTAGATTTGTGTCATATATATACAAACGTCGCGTTAAACTTTTATATGATCTTGTCTTGTAAGTTGGAGGTAGAAACTTGAAAGATTAGTCAAAATTCAGCAGATAGAATTAGTCGTGCTTTAATCCTTTTTTAAATGTACATTGATCATGCTCTAATCATATACAAGGAAATCCTTAATCATGTTTTAATTTCTACTCCATAGTACTTTGTCCTTATTGGAATAACTAGTATGATTGATAGCTAATCGTTTGTCTGTCATAAATTTCTCATGATTATGTAATTAAGTCATGATATAATTTGCTAATTTGAAAATGTTTGTGTGAATAATTAATTAATAGATGATTAGATGTAATAATTTTCTAGGATTTATAACATATTTTACTTGGTATATGTCATAATTAATAAAATTTATAGCAAATATTTATCTCCGATCTTGTAGTAAATTTTTGCAAAGTAAAAAAGCAACTTTAATTTGTTCTTTAAATATCTCTAGCAAAGAGGTGTATAACGAACCAAGCCATGAGCAAGAGTTTCTTCCATCAACCCCTAGAATGTTATGTGCCTCTTAAATATATTATTTGTCGGAAATTTCTAGAAAAATAGGGGAATAAGAGGTGAACCTTCTATCAAATTAATGTCTTATGTTTGTGATTAACGATACTAATCATGACTTTTTTGGGATTACCATTGCTAATTGTCTATAAGTTATATGTACGTACAATGAATAAGTACCCTTTTTTGAAGGGAAGGTTCTATTAGACCTAGCAAACTTTTTTTTTGACTTGATAGTTTGATTAGAAGTCGCTTGAGATTTGAGAATATAGGCCTTAAACACAATTATTGAACTTGAAGCTATTTTTTTTTTTTTTTTTTTTTTTTGGAGTTTTTCTTTTGAAAATTTGTTCGACCCAAAAGAAGACCAGAAATTGACCTCTACGGTCTACACAATCCTAATTTACTCGAACCGAAATCGACCTGATGGACCGATTTGACATTTCTATTTCCAATCATTTCTAGAGGTGTCATTCTCTCAATGGTGCAGTAGCAAGCATTTGGATTTTGAAAAAGTAACTTCTTATTTTTCTCAACTTTGTTCTTGGCATCTTATTTTCATATCCATTTGATCTCCCTTCTCCAAAGGAAATGTTTAGCTCATGTGTGAAATTCAAAAGTATGTTTTTTTAAATAATGAAATAATTTGATGTATAAACTATTTATATTTATCATTGAATAATTAGTCCTTTTTTAATTATCAATGGTCGAGATTACCCCTCTAAGATCCTTCTCTTCTGTCCTCTATGAGCTATATTATGCTAATGCAAGAAGCATAGGAGTACAACACACATGCATATTCAACCATGATTTGAGAATTTCAGTACAAAAAGTGCCTTTGTTTTGTCCTCTTTATTAGACATTACATAGGAGTAGTACTCTTAATTTTTTGGAGTAAAAACTATTTTTCGGTGCTACTAGCTAGACATGGCACAGTCGATCTTAAGGTGTTACACTTTAAAAAACGATGTTAATTTATATTAGCTAACTTAGTTGTATCTTGTAGTGTTATTGATTAATCTCCATTGATTTAATTTAAGCAAAAGCAAAATATATTCTAAACCTTGGTTCTTTGTATTAGTCTATAAAATTTCCTATGCACGCTAATAATCATTGACAAGAAATCACAAGAAAAGGTATCTGATAAAGCTTTGTTCTCGTACTAGGATACCAGTGATAAGGCCATACCTCTCCACCATTATATTTGTTAGTTTATTCTAGCAATAAATCATTACATTCCTAGTGTACCCGTCAAAAAAATCTCCAACTTTTCTAAAGAACTACATTCATTTATTTTTTAAATAATTTGATCCTTCAATTACAAATATCAATGAGCTGTATAGTGTAATAATGATCATAAAAACAAGGTCGTCATAGGACATAAATTCGATTTTTTGCATAATACTAATATTATATATGAAGTATATGGGTCTAAGTTGATTGAATGGAGAAAGACTTTAATGTTAGATTTTGTGAAACTCCTATCATTTAATAACATAATTAGTCTTCTTATAGGTCACTATATACTTTAATAACAGATGTAAGACTTGTCTTTAAAATTAGTGGGGTTTTATACATCAAAAAATCATATTGGAGGAAATTGTCAAGGAAAAGCTTAAAAGTAAGGAGAAATTGATTGAAGCAAGGATTGGAAGATAGACAAGAAACATTTAGAGATAAATGAAGTACAATGGAGCTTATATAGGCGACAATACGTTTAGCTAGGCATAGTTGCCTTTCATTTGTACCTCTTAATATGGGTTTGGAACATTAGTGGTCACAAGTCCACATCATCTAATTGGTTTTCCCAGTTTGACGTAAACAAAGAGTTTAATTAGATTATGCCTTGTATTGAAATAGTCTTGTATGATACAATTTCAACTTTCACGTGCATCAACATACTCCCAAATTGTAAGGCATCTAATATATATTTATACATTTTTTTTGAATAGTTTTAGGAGTTCAAATTTGAATATGATCTAGAATGTAGTCAATTGTTACAAATCAAATAAATAAAAATGAAAGTAGGATAATATGGATGATCTGCTTTCACTGAAAGCTCACAGTCATGTTACAACCATTGATAATGGATCATGTATTAAAGTCAATCATGAAATTATGGCTTTTCTTGTTATCTCTTTCAAAAGGTCATTTTCTTATTGTTTGTTTCATTTTATATTTTAATTTGTATTACATAGCAAACATTTAAACAAAATACTCCAATTCATATAGCTTAAGGTATAGATGCTCAAAACAAAAGTATAATTGAAAATTCAACTAGCCAAGTTTTGATTACGGTATATTTGTTATAATTTTTTATTGGATATCAAACTAACCCACACACAACCCTAGCATGACCATGTAAAAATCTTTTATCATTAATTTCTTATAACTTTATGTTAAAGTAACCTAGACTTAAGGATAACGTAATCTAGACTTTTTCTTCTTTATTTATAATCGACAGATGTTGTGTAAATGTCTAATCTAAAATACTAATTGCTTGTCTACCTTTGCCTTTTTTTTTCTTCTGTCACTCTTTTTCATTTTATAGGTTCAAACTACATTTTGACACATAGTAGTGAGTAGTGATTAGTGACTTTGATTTTCATGAATCAATTAATCAAGTGTTTGTATTTTCATTAAGGGTAATATTCTCCTTTATTTTTCACTGACCACAACCAACTAACTATGACAAGACTGATATGTGTTTTGTTTGGGGTATATTCTTTTTACTTTTGTATGAATTTATTTCTTTAAGTTACCATTATGTGTTACAATTTTTTATATCACATACATTAATTTTATGGCCACAACTAACAACCTAACTTGGTCGGTTTTTTAGTTGTGTCTGACTTGGTATACTTGCTAATGTGCAGCTTTAACCCTTAATTTCTTTAATTGTGTAATTGTTAACAATTTAATATAAGAAATTAGATACTATATATTATGAAAATATATAAAGACAAATCCAATGAGATCCATCAAAATCGTGTCTATATTATACTTTGTACATAGTATATGTTCAATGTGTAGTGGTTGTATAGCGTCATAATTGAAAAATGAAACAGTGAAAATAAGAGGAAGTAAAATTTATTAACATTAACCATTAAAAATTATTGACACACAATGTGGTTACAGATAATTAATCCAATATGCACTCTCTAATTTATTTGATCGATGATTTAAGGCTATTAGCACATAATGTATAAAATAATAAGTCATACGTACGTGGTATAATTTTTTTATTTGTCAAATTTGACTTTTTGTAACATTTAAACACCTCACTTTGACCTCTTTTTACTTAATATGAAACTAATTATTAGCTCATATTTTAAATTAAAAAAAAAAATAATTAGCTCATCATAATTTATACTAGTAGGTTGTTATTCAAACATTCTTGTATATATAATATATTTGACGTGTATTAGCAACATAAAACGTTACTAATGTGAATATTTTCTTTGCTAATGAATGTCAATAGTATGGCAAAAACCTTGGAGAGGTATCAAAGGTGTAGCTATGGTTCACTTGAAACGGGTCAGCCTTCAAAGGAGAACGAGGTAAATTTATACTCTTCTCTTCTTCGTTCTTGTTGTTGTATTGAAATCATTTGCATTGTATTGCGTTTGTAATACTATGTCGAAAATGCAATTACTACATTCATTAGACATTCAACTGATTTACGTTCTCTACGTTCCCAAACAGAATAGCTACCAAGAATATCTAAAGTTGAAAGCCAAAGTTGATGTTCTACAACGAAACCAAAGGTGAATGTTACATATCTATAGAGTGCATTGTATAGGGGCTGCATAATCTATAGATGAAACATCTATCAGATGGTGTCTATAGTGTTATGAGCAAATTCTTGATCATATGAATTTTGGGGGCTAAAAAGAGTAAGTTTATTATACTGTATAACATGCTTACTAATACAATCTTCAATTAATAATATGGAAAAAAAAACATAAATATTTGATATTTGAGAAGTAAAAATTGAGATGAATTTAACAAGACCCCATATGTCTGTGTTTTTACTTATGAACAAATCACGAAAATTGAACAATGTGCAATGTGTGAATAGTGTAAGTTTTAAAGTAGTACATCTATTGAGCATAAGAAAATGAAGGAAGTACATTAATGTGTTTTACATGTAAATTGGTAAGCTAGTATGTAGGGCATATAATATTTTGCATTAATTAGTGATGGAAGTCATGGAACTGAATAATTTAAAGCTTTTATTATTATTTTTAATTCAAATGATAAACTCATTTTGGATAATTTTAATCTTTTTCACACTATGTATATGATGTGCTATTGATGGACAAGCATATTAGTGAGGATGATGCTACACTATCTTGCCATTGTTTTTGTTACTTGTAGCTAGAAGCACCTAGTATAATGTAATGTATGAAAATTATGTATGCTCAATTGCTCATAATTCTACAATTTGAGTATACATGACACTATGTAATATTTATAGATTATCTTGTAGAGATATTCATTAAAAAATTAATGATTTTGCGTGATTCTCTATTAGTTGAATTATTTATTCTAAATAATGTGTTAATTTGGCAGGAATCTTCTAGGGGAGGATTTGGCAGAGTTGAGTACCAAGGAGTTGGAGCAGCTTGAGCATCAACTAGACAAGTCCTTAAGGCAAATCAGATCAATTAAGGTAACATATTCATATTTCCTACTTGCAAAATCATGTAATACTATGTAAAACAATTATTATTTATTAATTGTATTCTAGAAATTCTACTCCAACAAATTAGCTTAATTAGTCACTCAAATTAACATTAAATTCAATATATTTATATATATGCCCTATCTGTTCATAATATGCAGACACAACATATGCTTGATCAACTAGCAAACCTTCAAAGAAAGGTAAAATTAATGCTTAATTTATTATTGCATTGTTGTCTAGCTAAGTACACTATTAGCATTATGTCTTAATTATTTTAACTTTTACATAATTGTGTTAATTCTAGGTTAGCTACATGGTTTATATACTTAATTAATACAAGTATGAAACAAACAAAATCATGTTCATTCCCCTATATAAATACAAGTGTCGCATCAATATTGTGTATTTGTAGTAGTATGTAAATAAAATACATCAATGTGGAAATTCAACAATGATAGTACATTTAGATATAATAACTAGATTATATTTAGGACCAAAACATACAGGTACTTCCCAAGTTGTACGTTAAGGTAAATAAAAGGTGTGTATAAAATTTTTAGAAAATATATTGTATACATAAAAGTACTTCATCTTTCAACATAAACTCGGGGACAAATATTTCACACACTATATAGGCATATGAGACTATATATATAGTCTCTCTTTTCCTTTAAGTCATCATATATACATGGCCTTTGATTTAATTTCCAATTAAGTTTTGTTATCGTTCATCACTAGTAGTAATCCCATTTTACCTTCATTCCAAACAAATATTGTACATTCTCTAACCTATACTCTCTTTAATCCGAAATAAGCACAACCATAATGTATCTGTTTAGAGATAAGTTAATTATCAAAATACATTTTAATTAAGGTTTTATGCATTGCATGATTCTGGATACAGGAGGAGATGTTGCTAGAGTCCAATAGAGCTTTGAAAGCAAAGGTATATACTAAGCTACAATACAAAGTTTTTGCATTATTAAGTTTTTTTTTTTTCTTAGGTTGTTATTATTATTACTACTATTGCTACTATACAATATTGCTAGAACTAACTATTTATTAATTAAGCATATACTATAAGATATAGATATTGACTATAGAGTAACAAACTTAGGAACATAATTTTACATGCTATGAATTTCTTGCAGTTGGAAGAATCTTGTGCAACGTTGAGGCAACAATGGGATGTTGAAGCGGCACAAAATAATCCTACACCTTATGTTCGCCAATCTAATGAGGATTTCTTTGAGCCACTGCCTTGCAACAATAACTTGCCGCCAAACGGGTAAAAATTCTAACTCTCTTCATCTCCATCGATTCGATTGATCGATCATTAGCCCTTAGATGAGTAGCTAAAATCATCTCCTTTGGGCTTTTGTGCAGTTATAATGTTGTGACGCAGGATCACTTGAACAACGCGACAACTTCAACTCATAATGACAATAATAATGGCTTTACACCAGCATGGTTGCTTTGATTTACATGAACTGTTTTTTAGTATAAGTTTACTTCTTGATGATTAATCTAACTATAATGGACTTTGTATTGTAATAATGTACGTTTATTATAGTCTGAATAAATCAATAAAGCAGTTGAAGAGGGCGCATATTTCATTTCCTAAAAAGAATGTGATTTAATGGATGAATTTTACTACTTTAGGACCTACTGTACAATGGAAGAAGAGTAGAAGACTTAAAACATTACAGCTGAATAAATTAAGCTCGTCAAATGATTATAGCTAGCTTTTTAGCCTCTTTTAGCCTTATAAATTAGTTTTTATTAATAGTATGTTCAATCTTGTAAATTGTTTTTGAAATGTAGGCTCCGATGCCATGTCAGGAATGAATTTTCCTAGTGTTGTATAGGTGTATTCTCAAGTATATATACAACTAACCTAGATAAACATATATGGCCTTAACACATTGGCCCATTATTAACTAGTGTACAATATTAGGCTTAACATTTACACCTTGCGTATGTTAGAATTAAGTTTCACAATATTTATACATCATTGAAATAATCAGGTCGAAATATGCCTTTAAATTAGATCTATACTAGTTTAAGTCCCGTGCAATGCTTTAGTTGTTATTAAATTTTATGAAGAGTTATTGTATTGAATTTTATAAAAAAATTATACTCATAATACTAATTCAAAAATAAATGTAATTTGAATTTTATACCTAGCTATACCAATGTCAAGATTAGTGACACTTAGACTTGATTTTTCTTTAAAAAAAAAAAAGGGTCTATGAGATTTTATTTTGAAAAATAAAATTCTAAGGATAGTACCCACACATGCTGCTTTATTATTGATACGACTTTTAAGAGTAGAAAATAAAGTGTATATATATGTGTGTGTTAACAATATGATTTTATTTTTAATTGAATTAAACATTATTGCAAAAGTAACAAAATTGGAAGAAAAAAAAAAGTTATAATATTATCGAAAACTAAGATAATATAGAGCAGTATTGTTAAATACTTCCTCCATATTTTTTTAGTTGACACGTTTCTTTAGTTACGTTTGTCAATGCACAATTTCAATCATTAATATCTTTAATTATCGATAAGCAAAAATTATAAAAAGTTGATATTTTGAAAATGTGACCAATCTAACAAGATCTCACTTGATTGTATTTTTTTTCATATATAACACAAAATATAGTCAAGGGAGGTGTGTGAATAACACTAAAGTCAAAATGTGTCAACTAATAAAAAACGAAGGTAGTAATATTTACCTAATATATGTTCATTTTTTTACCAAAAAAAAAAATAAAATAAAAATAAAAACCTAATGTAAAATACTACATATATGTAAAAATATATTAGTTGGGTTTATATGGAGAATTATTATTGTTAAGAATTTTAATTGGAAGAAAGATATTTTAGATTATTATAAAATAATTTCCTTAAAGAATCTATGTAAAAACAGAAAGTAAAATGGGTGGGAAAATTTTTTTAACTAGGAGATGACATGTGTCATTCCTGATTTCGCTTTTAATATATAGTTATTGATGTGAAAATTACATTAAGATCAGGCAAGGGCAGTCTTCTCTTAATACCATAAAATCACACTTTACACCAATATGTGATATGCGGAGTATAATTATACATAACATAACCTACTACGTTTTTCGTTTTTTTTTTTTTTTTTTTTTTTTTTTTTTTTTTTTTTGAGGAAAATGATGATAAATTGGTAATGTCACATAAATAATCTTATTCTTCATTTTATTATATACGAAGACCTAACATCATTATGATTAAAATTGAAACTCAAATCATCAATTAGTATTGGAATAATTACAATCAAAGAAAGATTCTTCGATATCTTAGACTGATTGCACTATAATAATTTTACTGATATATGCCGAGCTCAAAAGGCATGGATTATTAGAAAATCAAAGGTAGCAAATAATTTCTGAAATTCAACACCAATTTAAAATCAAATTATTGGAAGTAAATATCATGATATGCTTTTCAAAATTTGACTGAATATAGAACTTGAATTATTGGAAGTAACATCATATTCTATCTTAACGAGAAACTACTATGTGTGGGCATTTTTCATTGACTCGTAGTGTCCTTAGAGACAAGGTACGATGTGACCCCCAATAATACTTTTACTACTCTTAGCTCTCACGGTATGAATTATGATTTCTATCGTACATCCTTTGTGTGCTTTGGCTCATGAATACCAAGCTCAAAGTTTATCGCATTTACGAAGTAGTATAAAAAATCAAGATGATGCATGTGCTGAAATACAATTAAAACATAATGTGTATTGTACTTCTGTACATGACCAAAATAATTGCTTGTACAAACTAAATGTCAAAACAATCGCTTCCTCCATGTAAAATGTAGTTTGATCTCAACGTACATTTTCAATATACAACCTTTAATTTCTTCTATCTTTTATGTTAGATACAGTCATAGATAAGCTTAGGCCGCACGAGTTATCAAAAGAGAGAATCCACTTCAGGGGAGTAACTATCCCTAAATCATTTTTTTTAATGTAGAGAGAGCTACAAGGTTAATTGATGTAGACGAGATTTGATCTCAAGTACTTAATTAGTACCATCTTCTAAGACTTTAACAAACTAAGTTAGCTAGTTGATCATCCATAACCTGATAACCATAAGACAATAAGCTGGAGGAGTATGTAGCTTCTTAGCCTAGCTTATAAATATACTCGTATGCTTAGACATATATACTATATGCTTCAAAAAATTCTACAAATAGATAATTAATAATTAAAGTTCCGCTATCAATTGAATGAATGTAAAAGTCAAAATGTTGTATCGAATTTGAAATGAATCAATTTAAATTAACCAAATGTTAGATTGAGTTTCAGGAAATTGGATACAGCTTATTTAGTGAATCGCTAAACATCGCGCGCAAATTACCATATAAAGCCCACAAATATGACTTGGTGTGACTTTATTGCCCTTTTCCTTTTAAAAAAAAACACTCTCTACTTCTCTCTAAAAAAATCAAAAAATCTACCTCTCTTAAAAAAATTAATTACGACAATGTCGAGGCGGCAAGGGAAAGAGGTGGCGGCGGCGACGGCGGAGGAAAGGCGGCGACCTGGTGGCAAGGTAATTATTTAATTTTTTTTTTTAAAAAAAGGCGACGGTGGCGCGTAGTGGGGCGGCAGGTCCGACAGCCAAGGCCGGTGGCGTGGCGTCTGGCTTGGAAGCCCAGCCACCGGACCAGGCGTCCAAACCAAAAGCCAGCCCATTGGCTGTGGCGTCCAGATCTGGCGCCTGTGCCAATGGGTGGGCGTCCAGTTCAGGCGCCTGCCCACTGGCTACGGCTGCCGGAGCTGGCGCCACTGCCAGTGGGTGGGCGTCCTGGCCAGGCGCCCGTCCCTTTTTATTTTTTTTCTTTTTTTGTTTTTTTTGTTTTTGTTTTTGTTTTTTTTTGTTTTTTTGTTTTTTTTGTTTTTGTTTTTGTTTTTTTTTGTTTTTTTGTTTTTTTTGTTTTTGTTTTTGTTTTTGTTTTTTTGGTTTTGTTTTGTTTTTGTTTTGTTTTTTTGGTTTTGTTTTTTTTGTTTTTGTTTTTTTATTTTGCAAAATCAGAAATTTAGTTTTATTTAAAATAATTTTGTTTTATGTCTAATTTTTTTTGTAAATGTGTTTTATTTTTTTAATATTTATAAACTTTATGTGTTTTTTTTTATAAATCGTGTATATTTTATTTTTATAAAATCAGATTTTTTTTTTGTGTTTATGTTTTATTTTTTTTATGTTTGATGTTTAAACATTTTTTATGCCTTAATTGATGTAGTATGTGGAAATTGTTTGTGTTAATGTGTAATTGTTTTTTTTATTTAAAATGTGTAATACATTAGGGTATTATGTGTGTATTTGTGTATGTGTAATATATTTGTTTTTTATTTTTTATGTTTAATTATTTGAAATAATTTTTATTTTTTTGGAAATCATAAATTTTGTAATATATTAGGGTATTATGTGTGTATTTGTGTATGCCGTATAATATTTTTCTATGTTTAATTAGTTGAAATAATTTGAAATTTTTGTTTTGTGTCCTATTTAGTTATTATGTCTTTGATTTTTTATAATCTTTATTAATTTTATGTTTATAAACATGACGATATGTTGGAAGTGTTGGTATTTTGTATCTGTAGGTAGTTATTTATTTTTTCTAAAAAACTTTTGTATGTTTATATATTTTTAAAATTTTTGTAGAATTCACTGGGTCGTCATGGTGCGGGGAAGAATGTAGAGCTTCTTAGTAGAAGCTATTCAGTGGAGAGGTCGGGGCATAGACATGTTAGATCCCGTGGTTTTTCGGCCTCGGCTCGTAGAGAACGGATCCACCGTCGGGATGAGGATGACGATGAGGATGATGATGCTGAGGAGGGTGACCAGGAGGAGGGCAGATATGAGGATGAGGATGTGGACGATGGGAGTGGACCGTATGATTATTACGGTTCATTCAGTCAGAGGGTTGATGACATGTACGAGACACATATAGTGGAGGTGCGTAAGGGTAGGGGTGGTAGGTTTGTTAGTAGATCTTGCACATCATCTGCGTCCACTGTATCTGGGGCAAGCAGGAAACGGTCGAGGGTCGTTAATGATTCTTGGGTTGTTAGGAGTGAGGTGCTCGGTTGGCCTGTTGACGGGAGTGTGATTCCTAGCTTTCTAGGACACATAGCTGCCCGTATTTGGGAGGACCAGGAGAGGCCTTCAGTTACGGGGTTGTTGAAATGTCATACCTGGGAAAAGACTTGTAGCTTTTTGCGTACACGGGCTGAGGCTTGGCCGGCGGAGAGCGAGATGTTCGAGCGACTGGAGGGCACTGGGGTTAATCACGTTCCTGCCACCATGCACGATAAGATTGACAGTACGCTGATCACGGCTTTCGTTGAGCAATGGCAGCCGGATACAAACTCTTTCCACCTTCCGTTCGGTGAGATGACGATCATGTTACATGACGTCGAGGCCATTCTGGGGATTCGTGTTGAGGGTAAACGACTTTGTGTTGTGGCTGATGCGGATCAGGAAGATTTGCTGGCGGAGTTGTTGGCGGTGGACAGGGCTGCACTGTACACCGAGGCGCTTGGTGTTTGGGAACACGGCGGTGTGAAGATCGCATCCGTGTTGCAGCGGTGTTTGTACCCCAGTGCACGTAGGACGCACGACACACAGCTGGCTGCTTATGTTTTTCTACTCCTCGAATGTACCTTGTTTCCGGATAAGAGCGGCGGAA